ACATTCAAAATAATCTTTGACTGGTATTTATATACTATGTGCATGTTTTAACCAAAAACTTAATTTAAATATCAGTTAAATATCAGTGCAATATGTATCATATATTGCATACTATGCTATTTTTGCATATTGTGCATTATTATGATTAGAGATGGGCACAGATTGTCGGTTCGTCGGTTCGTGCTGGTTCATGTTTGGCACTTCAAAGCCCCACCCTCTCCGGGGGCTGCCTCTGCGTGGACACCTGCTGGACAAGGTGGGAACAGTCGATCGACAGGACGTGACCTCCAAGTGGGTGCCCGCTAGAGGAGGCGGAGCTTTGAAGCACCGAACACCCGTTTGGCTGCTGAACGAACTGGCATGATGGGTTTGGGCGCATCGCTAGTCCTAATCCATATATATATATCTCCATATATACCAGCTGGTATATATGGATACATCTGTCCGAAAGAAGAGGAAAACACCAGCTCATTCATATTAAACAGTCTCACTTCCAAATCCCCATTCAGAAATGGCCATGACATGAGAAACATTCTCACAGTGACAACTGAGAAAAGGTTGTTTTTTTTTAAAAAAATCAATCTTGTACAAAGACATACCCATTGCTTCTGCTAAACCAGACACTTTTTGGCCGTAAATATCCGTCTTATTCCAAGCGAAGGTATAGACCAGGTTGGCGGCGGCCGGGAACGTTTTCTGAGCCAGCCGCCCTTCGACCGTCACCACAAGATGGACTTTGATCATGCCAGGGGGAATGACGGCATGTGTCAGGATAATGCGCAGCAAAGTTTTATACCCAGATGTTCGGCTGCTCAAATAACTGAGCTTCACGAAGCTGGAAGGGATGGGTATTTCCTCCTGGACCACCTAAAAGCAGTGGGGCATGTTAAGGTCATAGAAAATCGTATCAGAGAAAACAGCAACCCCAGCGCACTTCGGTATCTCGAGTCAATGCCATGCGTGGGTGCCTAAGCATCACGACACCATTAAACCAAGGGAAAGGCTGCACTCAACATGACATGAGATCTTCCTACAGCTAGCTAAAATGTCCAGGAGGGAAAGGCGCTTTCCCCCTAACCCAAATGAACTGCTGGATAGTTCAGTGGTTTAGTTCTCTGGCTGCGGAGCCAGAGGTTGGGGGTTCAATTCCCCCTTGGTGCCTCCTTGACAGGGGCTGGACTTGATGATCCATAGGACCCCCTTCCAGCTCTGCAGTTCTAAGATTATTATTATTATTATTATGACATTCAGGGTCAAATGAAATATGGGGAACTTCCCTACAATTAATCCATTTTCTTGTCCCTTTGGTCATTACAGAATGTGGTCTATTTTAGTATCCACAGCAATGATTTCTGAAAATATAGATGAGAAAATAATAAAAAGGACGATTCCTCTGGCCGCTTTCTCCTTTGTTTTACTTCCATCTCATCTATACCAAATCTAAGTTCTTTTCAAAAGCTAGAAACCATCCGACTTACTATCCTTTTCTGATCTTTATTCTGAGTAACTGGTGTTATATATTAGTGATGTGGAATGATATCGCATTCTGCAATAATTGGAAGGGGTGTTTATTATTAAGCAGCTGTGTGTCTAGTACGTGCAGTCAAGCCAGAATAGACTTACAGACTTATAGCAACCTTAATAAGATTGTATTCACAAAGGTGAATCAATAATAGGATTCCCAAAGTAAATGAGGTATTTAAGGACTGGTTTTACCAGTCTCACACCATGACATGAGGTTCCAAGCAAAGATTCAAACACAGGTCTCCCGAGTCCTAGCAGGCCCAAGGTTGGGGACCACTACACTACATCACACTGGGAACTACACAATGTAACGAAAGTACTAAAAATAAAGAAAAATAAAATTAAATGGCCACTAGAGGGAGCCAGAGACCATGCTATGTATAGAGTTTGCTATTATCCACGGTTTTCAGCATCTGCGGGGCCCCTGAAGCCAATCCGCCCCAGATGGTGTGTGTGCGCGTGCGCACATGCTACTGTATTTATCAAAACAAGTATGAGACAACAGCTCCTTTAAAAAAAGGAACAACCTACTTCTGCTTTCCGTCTATCAATAATACACCACTGGTTCCCATTCCCTTACCTGTAGCTCTGGGATGATTGTTCCCCTTTCCGGACATGATCCTCCAAAGGACGTCAGAGGAAAAGGAAGAACAACTGGATTTGGGCTGATAAAGCTACTGATGTCACAAGAAGGCGGCTCGACCTCCGTCCTCTGCATGACTACTTTGTCTACCACGATAAACCTGTTCCAGGCCAGCCAGAGTGTCCTCCTCACAGAAAGAAAAGGAGATCGGTCAAAGACCAGAGTGACTGAGATGCCTCCAATGGCCACTAGGTCAAAACTGGGAAGACAAAACAAAACATGCCATCTTACTCCAATCCCATTTGTTATCGGTATTTTCGTTCTCATTTTCTGCTTCATATAGTTTTACTGATGCCCTGGCACCCTCTGCTTGATGTGGTTAGATTGTCTATGGTTATATTATATTAATTATTTGACAGTGTATTTTATTGTGAGCCACCTAAAGTAGTGTTGTGACACTAACAGGAGCAGTATATTAAACTGAAATGATCGTTCGATCGATCAGTCAATCCATTGATCAATCCATCCATCCATCCCACAGAGCTATGACATTTCCCCATGTGCGTGAAGTGGACTGATTAATGCAAGTGTACAAAATACACAATTTGTGGTAGGCTATAAAGAAATTTACCAAATGCTGTACCACCAATTTTCTGCCAGACCTATGGCATGGTATTTAAAAATGCCTGAAAATGCGACATTAATTCTAAAGTATTAACACTATGGCTGAAATCAAGCAGTAAATTGTAACTATGCTCCCAGAGGCATCTGGTGGGGCCACAGTGAGATACAGGAAGCTGGGCTAGATGGGCTCTTGGCCTGATCCAACAGGGCTCTTCTTATGTTCTTATGTAAGCTGGTGGTTTTCAATTGTGGGCGGTGCTGAGTATGATATGCAACTGGTTACCTTGACCTGGAATGGCCACGAAGGAGAGGAAGCTGAGATTACTCTCAGTGTTCGCTAACTTTACTTTCTAGAAAAGCTTCTCAGTAGTTGTAATGTGTGGCCAAGTTGCTTTTGACTTATGGCAAGCCCATGACTTCCAAAAAGTCCTATCATTAACAGCCCTGCTCAGGCCCTGTAATCTAAAGTGTCCTTTATTGAGTCAGTCCATCTCATTACAGGTCTTCCTCTTTTCCTACTGCCTCCACTGCTTTTAGCATTGTGTCTCCCCATGATACATTCAAAGTACAATAGCTTCAGTTTAGTTATTTTTACTTCCAGTGACAGCTCCAGCTTGATTTGGTCTAGGGCTCCTTTATCTGTCTTTCTGGCAGTCCAAGGTAGCTGCAAATCTGTTCCTCAATACCATACTTCAAATGAACTTATTCCCTGCTCCCTTCCATCAGCTTCCCTCACTGTCCATCTTTCACATCCCTATATTGCAAATAAGAATTCCACAGTATTGATGATCTTGGCCTTGGGTCTCCAATGAAACTTCCTAAATCTAAATGCTCTTTTAGAGTTCTTTCATATTTGCCCTTCCAAGTCTCATCTTGCTTTGATTTGTTGACTCGAGCCTTCATTTTGATAAATGACTGAACCAAAGTATAGATATTGAAAAATGTCCGTGTCTTCATTGTCCATATTAAAGTTATGTAATCCTTCTGCAAACATTATTTTTGCCTTCTTAATATTCAACTGCAATCCTCCTTTTGTACTACGTCCATTAATATTCCTCAGTAATCACTTCAAGTTGTTTTCTGCCAGCAGAATGGCGTAATCTTCGTATCTTAAATTTTTTGATGCTCCTTCCACCAATTTCCATTTGAGTCTAATCCATCTTTTGGTATTGCATGTTCTGTATATAGATCGAAGAGACAGGGAGATAAAACACACCCTTGTCTAACCAACTTGCCAATGGGAAAACCATTCTGTTTCCTTCTCTTCTGTCGTAAAGCTAGCCTTTTGTCGAGAGCATGTAGGTTATTAATCGGAATATCACACATATTTCTTTTCAAATGAATTGATTGAATGGAATAGCATGGAACTGAATGGGATTGCTCGAAACCTGAACACGCTGCACTGCATTATTTTGTTGCAAGTCCCGTTTCATTTATTATTGCGTTGATAGTATGTGCATTCCAGAAAAGATATGAGGCATAAAATTATATGAGGCAGAGGAGGTGATGTAGTTTCTTATTATTGGAAAACTTTAACGTCTATAGACACGTAACGTAAGGCAGTGTAAATAGGTACTTCACTCTATTACTTGATGCATCTTTTATAGAACTCTTTGACGGTAACAGAATGTGATGGGGAGCTAGACTTAATTATGCACATTCCTGCCCTAGATAATAGACAGGAATATGAGCATGTGAGCATTTCAGCTCTGTCAAGAGACTAGTAATTTGGAAATCATAATTAGACAACCTGAAACATTGACATTTTAAAACCACCTTAAAATATGGAATACATATTAGCTCCATTACTTAGAAGACCCCGGATGGCAAAAGGATTATTTACTCACAGATTTACAGTATTTATACTGCCGATGCAGTGACAGGAAATTTTACTGTGAAATTGTAAACACGAGGTGGCTGCAAGCTTTCACTGGTTCTCTTGATTAATCAGCATGTCTCCATTCTATTCGGCAAGGGCAGATTTTAATCTATACATTACACTTTAAGGGCACAATTTATTTAAAGGCACTCCTTTTTATTTCTGTTGCCTTATTTCTTTTTCCTCAGATATGCTACCGCACCAGAGAAGGAAATCTTAAATATTAAACAGATCTTCTCCTAACTGAAAGTTCATCTGTGCTGTCACAGCCCACTTCCTGCAATACCTCAAAGTGATCTATTTTGACGATGGGCAAATTCATTTACATTTGACAAATTAATTATTCAGCTGCAAAGCAGATGAGTCATTTGATGCTAATTTTTTTAAAAAATGCTTAACTTCCAGCTTTTGGCTTTGACGTTTTCTCTCTCAACTGCATTAACCACATACAGTGGTGCCTCACTTAGCGATGTTAATCCATTCCGGAAAAAACATCGCTAAGTGATGTAATCGCTAAGTGATATTAAAAAGCCCATAGGAACGTATTAAAACGCGTTTAATATGTTCCTATGGGCTAAAAACTTACCTTAAAGCGAAATTCCTCCATAGTGGTGGCCATTTTGGGTGGCTCTAAACCGAGGCAAAACAGCGGTGGCCATTTCGTTTTTGCGGTGGCCATTTTGGATCTGCCGATCAGCTGTTTTAAAAAGTTCGTTTTGCCTTGATTGCTTCCCCGCAATCATCGCAAAGCAAATTTTAGCCATAGGGGATATCGCTAAGCGATTGTTCCAGCGATGGCCAAAAGTCCATCGCAAAGCGATTTCATCACTCAACAGAGTGATCGCTAAGCGAGGCACCACTGTACTGTATTCCTCTTAAAGGGAGCCCAACATTACCCCAACTGGCCTTTTACCTTCCGTCCTGTCGACTGATGGTGTAACCGTAGTCACTGTGATGCTGGAAACTCACGTTCACCCCGACGAGAGGGGTTCCGTCTATGGCTACCACTTGGCCCCGAATCACACAAGCGCGCCTGGGTTGAGAAAGAGCAAATTGACCATGAAGGAAGGAAGATATCGACACATCGCTAGCCCATTTACACTGCCCAAAATAAGGTTTATCTCCAGTTGCTTCGCAATTAGAGACAAGCACATACTGCCAGAGCAACTGTAATATCTTGGATGGCACTAGATTGTGTTTAATAATAATAACATATTGATAAATAATATTAATAATAATATTAACAACAATAACTACTACTACTACTAGTACTGAAGAGTTGGAAGGCATCCAACGAATCATTTAATCCAGTAAGGAGGGAATTGAACTCCCAACCAGATGCCTAAACTACTGAAGTACCCAGAAGTTATCGTAAAGCATTAGGTTAATATTTAGTTTTTTTGTTTTTGTAAAGGTAAAGGTTCCCCTTGACATTTAGTCCAGTCATGTCCGACTCTAGGGCGCGGTGCTCATCCCCGTCTCCAAGCCGTAGAGCCAGCGTTTGTCCATAGAGAGTTTCCATGGTCACGTGGCCAGCGCGACTAGACACGGAACGCTGTGACCTTCCCACCAAGATGGTACCTATTTATCTACTCGGATTTACATGCTTACAAAATGCTAGGTTGGCAGGAGCTGGGACAAGCGACGGGAGCGCGCTCCATCACATGGATTTGATCTTACGACGGCTGGTCTTTCTGACCTTGCAGCACAGAGGCTTCTGCGGTTTAACCCGTAGCGCCACCACGTTTTCTTACATCTCAGTATTTTACAATTTTGTATACAAAGTATTGAACTGATCATGGAATTATACAGCTGGAATGTATCCAAGGTCACTGAGTCAGACCCTCTATTGAAATAGATGATGCCTTTTAAATGCTGAATAAATAATTATTTCCTGTACACATTTCACTGACACCTTCACTGCGTTGTGTTATTTGTTTCCATTCTTTATCATAGGTATGTTTTGTTTCAGTTTGGATTGCAAAGCACCCTGGAAGGAGCGTCATGAATATTTACACAGATTTGTCTTGAATTAAAAAAATAAAATAGGGAGGGTGATTATGTACGTATCTCAGAAAAATCCCTTTGGCCGCCTGTGGGGATTTTGTAGTTTAAAGTTCCATCTTGTGGCTATTAAGGGATACATCACTGGTGTTTAGCATAATCAAGTTATTGTAGTATAAAGATGCATTGTTCTATGATTCTCTCTCTGCGCAGGCGTGGAATGCCTTAAGACTGATAACCACACGACGCCTCTATGGCCAAATTCTTATCTTATGCTAATTTTGCTTGTTTTGCGTGCTTAATAAAAACGTCTGGGGGGAAGAAGGTAGCCATCTTAATCTTCATCTTCTTCTTCTTCTCTACCGGTACCTGAATACTAACAAGATAAAGTCTGCAGTGTCTTCATTTATCAGAGATCTCTCCCTGGTTTTCATGCAACTGCTGCTTGGCTGGCTTCCAAGCAGGGTTCCCTGGGGATTTCCCCACAGCCGCCCTGAGTATTGTTTATGAAAAACCCTTGCTAGAAGTTTTTTCTTAGATTCCCTGAGCATGCCAACAAGTTTGTGAACGGGGTGAACTGGTTAATGTTGTTTGCCTGCCCTTTCAAAAGCATTTTTGATAAAATCCCTAACTTAAAGACTTTTGAGCAAACCAAGCAGTAATAGGATAAGAAAAGAGGTTTCTTATGGGTCAATAGCTTCTTAAAGAACAGAAAGTATAGGACAGGGAATAGATGGATGATTCCTGCAATGGAGCGACTTAAGCAACATGGATCTACTTGTTTGGGGAATGGTCCACTATCCCAAAATTGTCTCGAGCAGTGAGACCACCAATGGGGCGACAGCATTGAATTATATTATCACAGTGGCAGAAAGGGGAAACGAAGCATTTTAGAAGGACCTGCTCAAACTTTGGAGTGAGAGAAGGCAGGGAGCGTTAAATTTAAAATAGCAAATACAGTTCAGTGTTATCAAAGAGGGCAGCAGTTCCCAAGCTTGGGTCCCTAGATGTTCTTGGACTACAACTCCCAGAAACCCTAGCCAACACAGCCGGTGGTGAAGGCTTCTGGGAGTTTGAGTCCAAGCACATTTGGTGACCCAAGGTTGGGAACCACAGAAATAGAAAATCATGTGGGGGTGACCCTGATTTTACATATACATGACATAGTCTGAAGGGGTGCTGACTGACCAGGTTAGGGATCTGGGGTTGGAAGTGGTCAGTGAAAAACACTGGCTCATGTTGTGTCGGGGGGGGGATCATTTTGGGAAAATGAACATAAATTAAACTGCCCTTATCAGAGCTTCTTTATGTACAGCTGGGGTGCAACAGCATCTGAAACATTCTGTGGGCATTCTGCAGACTGCATGTGGAACAAGACCGCAAGGACACGCAAGGTGGCAAAGCAGTGACCTCCAGGACTTTGACACTTGGGAAAACTAAGAAGATGGGCAAGAGGGACATGGCAGAATTGCATAAAGCTTTGGGCAGTGTAGAGAAACTCAATGAGAAACTCAATGTTTTAATCCTGTTTTTTCTGTACAGGAAGCAAAGTGGTGCTGCTTTCTTTCTTCACAGGCAAAAAAGGGATGCCCCTTCCTTTCTGCACAGAAAACAAATTGGCTCCCCTTCCTATCTGCAAAAGCAATGAAATGGCACTTCTTCTTTTCTTCACAGGCAACAAAATGGCTTCCTTCTATTTAACAAAGGCAGCAAAATGGCCTCTTTTCTTTATCCAGAGGCAACAAAATAGCCAATTTCTATTCTGCAAAGGCAGCAAAAAGGCCTTTCTATTTGCACAGGCAAAAATTCCATTCTGCACAGTCAACAAAATTGTGCCCCTTCAATTCCACACACACAGGCAGCAAAATGGCTTCCCTCTTTTATTCAAAGGCAACAAAATGGCCTCCCTCTTTTATGCAAAGGCAACAAAATGGCCTCCTTACTTCATGCAAACGTAACAAAATGGCCTCTCTTTTTTATGCAAAGGCAACAAAATGGTGCCCCTTCCATTCCACACAGGTAGCAAAATGGCCTCCTTCCTTCATGCAAAGGCAACAAAATGGCCTCTTTCACACAAAGTCAACAAAATGGCCTCCTTCTTTTATGGAAAGGTCACTAAATGGCCTCCTTCCTTTATGCAAAGGTAACAAAATGATACCCCTTCCATTCCCCACAGGCAGCAGAATGGCCTCTCTCTTTTATGCAAAGACAACAAAATGGCCTCCCTCTTTTATGCAGAGGCAACAAAATGGTGCCCCTTCAATTCCATACAGGTAGCAAAATGGCCTCCTTTTTCTTTGTGCAAGGGCAACAAAATGGCCTCCTTCCTTCATGCAAAGGCAACAAAATGGCCTCCTTCCTTCATGCAAAGGCAACAAAATGGCCTCCTTCCTTTATGTAAAGGTCACTAAATGGCCTCTTTCCTTTATGCAAAGATAACAAAATGGTGCCACTTCCATTCCGCACAGGCAGGAAAAAAGGCCCCCTTCCAATCTGCACTGCCAACAAAATGGCACATGTTCCTTTATGCGAAGGCAACAAAATGGCACCCCTTCCATTCTACATGGGTAATAAATCGCACCAGACCTTTTATTCACAGGGAGCAAAATGGTGCCTCTTCCTTTTTTCAGAGGGAAGAAAATGACTCCGCTTCCTTTCCGCACAGGGACAAAATGGCAGACTGCCAAAAATTGGAGCCGTTGGACCTTGCAGTTGCTGCCGCTGCTGCTGCTGCTGCTCTCTCTCTCTCTCCTTTGCCCTTCCTGCCACTTTTTATTGCCTTCCCTGAGTAAGTGAATCATGACCAGAGAAAAATGCAGGAAGAGCCGTCCCTATTCACTCTGCCGTCTCTCTGAAGCTTTCCCATGCCTGGCCACGCTGCCTGGGCCCCTAGAAGGAAGGGAAACGTGGGGGGCAAAGGTGAAGGCGAACCCAGGAAGGCTGTGCAGGGCAGATTCCACAGCCTTGATCTTCTGCCCAAATGAACCCAACTCGGAATAAGGTGCTTGGACTAAAACTCCTTGAAGCTTTCCCCACCGGTTCTCCTGGCCAGGATTTCTGGGAGTTGTAGCGCAAGAACAACTGGGGACCCAATGATGGGAAGCGCTGCCATTTAGCGAGGACCACCAACATGGATGGCTTTTCAAGAAGAATTAGAGAAATTCTAGTGGTGAAGAGCTAGGTGTATGTTGCCACTAGCATCAGAGGTGTTATGCCTTGATATTCCAGGTAATGGGGAAAGGAAGAAGATCCTCATGTCTTACTTGCGGCTCTTCCATAGGCATCTAGTAGAATGAGAATGCGGCATAGATTTGATCTAGCAGGGGTCCTCTACTAATTTCTCATTCTTATCCTACCTTCTCATTGTGCCATAGATGGATCCCATACTATGTCTGTTTTGTCATCACCACCAATCCAATGGTGCAACATCACTCAATAAAAGCATCACCACTATCGGAGGATTTGAATCTGGATCTCCCCCGTCCCAGCCTGGCACTCTGCACACGATGGGTGAAACCCAGTTGTTAGTCACAAGTGCAATAGAGTCCCATTGAATGAATGGGACTTGTTAAATCAACACTTAATGGAGTCTACTCCAGTTGACATTGGCAATCGGATTTAGCCTTCAAGCACTCTGTTCAGACCTGAACAGAGTGCAGCAGTGACATGTCTGTCTTTCCATGGATAACAGAAAGTTAACAGCAGCTTTTTTTTTTCTCCAACACATATCATTTTTATCTTCTCGAAGCACACAATTGAGAAACACCTACTAGATTTGCAGTGACATTCAATTTAAGGGCTACGGATCCTTTGTTAAAAGCCTAGGAAGCTGGCCTAAGGTAATTTTTATACCTTTTTGACAACCACCTTCGGCAGCTGCTTCTGTACAATCTACGGAGATCATAAAATATGCCTCAAAGACTGTACTCAGCCTTATCTTCCTGTTTTATCAGACACCTGACTTTTTTAGAAATGGAAACAAGGAATAAGGATCTGATAAGCAACGAAGGCTCAAGTGAGGCATAAATGGAAATACGGATTCCTTGGGATTAGATTTTCTCTTCCTGACAACAAGCATGATTTCCTGCAAAAAAAGAGCTGAAGCAATCAGATTTGCAAATAATGCCCATGTTTGCCTTCTAATGGCCAATCAGAAATCAAGGCATCTGGAATGCATAATGTGGAAGTGAGGGAAAGTACTTGCTTGGATTTTAAAAAAAAGACATCCATCATCATTTCAGGCAGGAGTGGGCAACTGTGGCCCTCCAGATATTTAGGAGATCACTTGGTCATAGGATATCTCATCCCATAATTTCCAGTGTCTGCTCTCCTCCATTTCTTCAACGACAATTAACTCACAACAGGCAGAAAGTGTTGGAGTTTTTACAACTTTGCAGGGAATGGACTCTTATGGGCTGGGAAGACTGTCAAGGTATCCTGCACTAACAAATCATTTTCTCCTGCCTCTGAATTCAGAGAGCCCCGCCTCTCTGCTAATTGTTTTCTTTTCCCTGTCTTTTTATTTTTTATTTTATTTTTTATTCTTTCTCCAACAAACGTCTCGGAGCGAGTTATTGAGAATGTAAGAACCAGTTAATGAGAAAGGGGTGGACTGTTTGAGGAACTTGTAGCTATTCTCCTCTGTGGGACTCTGTATTTCTACTCTGTAGCAAACAAACAAACAAACAGATAAACAGATAAACAAACAAACAAACAAACAAACAAACAAATAAATAAATAAGAATTTGGCCCGAAATTCAGAACTCTGCAACTGGAAGTCCCAAACCTTGCATGTTTTTTCCATCCCCTTGCATGGGATCACACCAGGAAGAGCACCGGTGACTTTCCCACAAGCTATTATTTTTCAACTCTGCTGATTGTTGGGGTGTACACTTTTTTGGGGTGTGCTTAAAATCCAGTGAGAAGAAGAATTTGCACAGTGCTATAGAACTTCTTAAGCAAGAGGAAATACCACTTGGAGATGTTGTTTTAGATACAGTAAGTGGTATATAATTTGATTGATTAAGTCAAGAAACAGGAGAAAAGCATTGCTTTATAGTTCGGTTCAAATATTCCTCCCCTGCCCTGGATGCTGTGAGCTGTCCTTTTCTTCCCCCGGCACCAATGAAGTTTAAGAACCACAGATTTAATTTACAAGATAAGATAAAAGGGGAACTGTTAAGTATTATGGATGAACCGTGGCTGCCAACATCAGTGCATAAATTGTAGCTGCCTAGGATGTTTTGTTGTATATAAAAAGTATTACAGGCATCTTTATTTTCAGATGTTACTCCTCTTTCCAGGATCAAAAATGTTTGTACAGTAACCTTATTTTGAATCCATGGAGCTATGCCTCCACAATTCTGTCTTCATTGTTTAAAAAATGTTACAAATGCACCTTGCCTCAGTGAAGTGAATCTTCTGTTTACTGTGGGAGTCTATAAGGAGCCTGTCTCAGGATGCCTTTATGACGGCATAAAGAACTACACTTCAAGACCAAACTAGACGCTGTATGTTGAGCACGTATTTAGAAGAGGTGCTCTATCAACTGGTGAAAGACATCTGTTTTTCAAGCTTTTCATCACCTCTGTTAACCTACATTCCAGTGTGAGTTGTTTTATGGTTCATCACTGGAAGATAAATAGGGGCTTCATTTGCAAATCGGAGCACAGATCAGCGAAGAAAGCATGTCTCAGGTGTCAGAGTACATGGCTAGTCATAGGGAATATGCCTTCTCCTTAACATCCAAGGTGACCTTAAGCATCCAAAGAGTCAGGGAAGGCCGGTCCAGGATTCCCCCAGCATGTTTACCTTTAGAAAACACATTTTGGGTGGTTTGTGTGTGTGTGTATGTATGTTTGTCTGTGGGAGATACTCACCTGCTCTCAAATGAGACATCTCCTCGGATGACATGAGTGCTTTCCTTCCCAGTGAGAAATTTGATCCTGTCATAGAAGAGTCGCGGAGGATGCTGCGAGAACGGAGGCTGGCTTTGTTGAATGAGGTCCAGGGGATCTGGGGACCCTTGGCAGAGCGGGCTGGAGAAGCAGCTGTTCTGCTGACAGCAATCCGGGTCTACACAGTCTATCAAGCCATCTGGAAGTGGGTAAAACAAGACCAAGTTACAACAGAGGTCAGAGGCTGACAGCTGAGAAGACTGGTAGAGGCCACGTGGCCAACAAAGTGAAATAAACTGATGGTTTACGGGTGTGATGCAACCACGTGGTCTCCCTGTATGTGTGTGGGGTAGGGTCAGGTGTGTATGTGGGAGAGAGAGTCCCATGGACTGATGAGTATCTGTGTTGCGCTGGGGGGACCTTTGGCTCTTCCAAAGCGTGGGTGGACACCTCCCATCAATCCCTCGCCAGCCTGACCAATGATGGCAAAGTGTTTATGGAAACAGTTGCATAGGACACTGATGTGCAGAACAACATCAAGAGTGGTCAACGCATCCCATCGGGTTGCATGCACCATTTGTCTGTTTTTCCAGGCCCCTCACCCGCCGGGGAGACTCTCCCCACCCCAATTTGGCAGCATAACAAACCATATTCAGAGGATAAAACAAGGTCATCAAGAAGTAAGTCCCAAGGCAACTGATTCCATTGTCTGATGGCTCTCTCACAACTAGGATGTTCTAGAGGATAGACCACCGATGGCGAACCTATGGCACATGTGCCATAGTTGGCATGCAGAGCCCTTTATGAAGGCACGTGAGCCATAAATGGCCAGATTGCTATTCCCCTCCCCCAGCAGCCAAACCTGCGGAGGCGACTGGTGGCGAGACAGGATCCGGAGTGGGGTCCGTGCCCGGGATTCCCCCTCCCGCCGCCACTTCCGGTTCTGCTGCTGCCACCGCTACTGCAGCCCACCGCCCACTGGGTGGTCCCCCCCCAGTTTGGGCACTCAGGCCCAAAAAGTTTGGCCACCACTGTTCTAGACCAATGCATGGAGGAGAAGACCCTCAATGGACAGCTGTCTTGGTATCTGCATCTCACCTCCAGGATCAGAGGCATTTCCCCTGTTGATGGGGGGGGGCAGGAGCAACAGGGTGCAATTACATGCATGTCCTGCTTCCAGACTTCTCCATGGCCTTTAGTTGGCTACTATCTGAAGCCTTTGATCTGATCCACCATGGCTTTTCTCAAGAAGGAAGCTAAGGATGAGCAAAATTACGGATACTCTTGAGAGTAAGGCACAGGATCTTAAGGAACAGCCCTAAGAAGAAAGACTGAAAGAACTGGGCATGTTTAGCATTAGGAAAAGAAGACTGGGGGGAGGGGGGAGAGATTGGATAGGACTTTTCAAATTCTTGAAAGGCAGTCTTATAGAGAAGCAGCAGGATCTGTTCTTGAGCATCCCAGAGTGCAGGACACATAACAATGGGCTCAAGCTACAGGAAGCTGGTTTTATGGTGAATATCAGGGTGAAAAAAAGTCTTAACTGTTAGAGCAGTACAACAATGGAACTGATGGCCTTGGGAAGTGGTGAGCTTTCCAACACTGGAGGCATTCAAGAGAACATTGGACAACCCTCTGTCAGATCTACTTTTATTTGGATTTCTGCCTTGATCAGGGGGTTGGACTCAATGGCCTTATAGCCCCCTTCCAACTTAATTATTCTATGATTCTATGATCCTATATGCAATATAAAATAGGTAGAACCATCAAAGAGAGAAGGGCAGAGGAGAATATGCTCAACTGCAGTGCAATTTCAGTAAGCCAAAGAATTAAGGAAAGAGATAAGAGGCTTACAATGCAAGATGAGAGATCAGAAAATAATACAGTGGAATAATCTGTATATATGGGAGAACGATAAGCTGAATTAAAGTTTTATCTGAATCACTAGGGAGAAAACAATGGTGAATGGAAGAAAAGATGAGATGAGAAAAGGAAATACAGTTCTTGGCTATAGCCTTCACACAGAGATAAAAAGAGATAGATGATAATGAGCAGACTTCACACAAGATGAGGACAAGATTATCGATAGAAAGAGGAAGAGGAGCTAATAAGAGCGTTATATGCTGCTCATTCATAGCTGATTATGGAGGCTGAAAACACTAATGAATCCATCCAAACGAGGAACGAAACAAATAACTGTAAACTGGTAGACAACACAAGGAGAGAACCATCAGCATAAAGTTTGAAGCCCTGTTAAACATCAGGAGCTGAAATGAAGGACTGAGAGAAAGAACTCAGGGGTTGACCTAGGAAAGCTGGCTGACCTCCAGGTTATTTGTAGGCTAGTCAATTAGTTGCAATTGACTTTGATCTCCTAACAGAGGGCTGTGCCCTTCCAGATGCTACTTGATTCCAACTTCCAGCAGCTTCAGCCGAGGCTACTAATGGTTGGGAGCAATGGAAGTCCCAGCCCTTCCAGATGCTACTTGATTCCAACTTCAGCTGAGGCTACCAATGGTTGGGAGCAATGGAAGTCCTCATTCCATCTGGAGGATAATGAGAATCACTTAGTGGCTTGGGACCAAGCTATCTCAAGGATGTCATTACCATGCCTGGGTGTTAAGATCATCAGATGAGGCCTTTCTCTTGGTTCCACCATCCTCACCGGCGTGTTTGGTGGGGACACGTCCTTCTCTGTGGCTGCTAATACGTCCTTCTCTGTGGCTGCTCCCAAACTCCCTCCCACAGGAGGCCAGCCTGGCCCCATCTTTGCTGTCCTTTCCAAACCACCTTTCTCTTCAGGCAAGCTTTCCCTTAATGACCAATTACCTGAGTGGCGCTTCTTACTGCTTTGAACGTCTTTAGATATGGCTTATGGTTTTTTTTTTAAGTATGGTATTCTTTTGATTCTTTTTAGGATTTGTATACTCACAATCTGAGCTTTAAATACTGTATTTTAATGATGCAAGGCTGCCTTGCGTTCTTCTTCAGAAGAAAGGTGGGGTCAAAATATTGGAAATAAATAAATGTAAACAAATTAACAAGGTCTGGAGATGCACCAATTCCCCAGGTATGCTTTCTGGACCAATTTGGCACACATGAATAGTTCTCTGAGAAATTAGCCTAGTATTAGGCTGAATATGCAGAAGCATTTCCCATGCATTTCTGTTAACTTGTACTCAAGTTCCACTAAATACATTGGATAAATGTATTCTGTTTGGTCTAGAGATGGGCAAGAACCATCAATTGGGTGGTTTGTACTGGTTCATTTAGCAGGCAAACAGGCATTCTATGCTTCTGAGTCCCACCTCCTCTTCCTCCTCTTTTCTACTACTTGTATTTCAGAGGGAGTTATGGAGACTGTAAGTGCCAGTTAATGAGAAAAAGGGTGGACTATCTGGGAACTTAAAGCTATTTTCCTCTGTGAGCCTCTGTACTTCTACTGTGTATACAAAGGAGAATGTTAACCAAATATTCAAAACTCTGTAATATAAACAGTGTTATTATAGCTCTAATTAGAGAACACCATGCTAACAGAGTTCAGCACCAAGTCCTGCTGTTGGCTTCTCCTCTCCTAAATAGTTGGGCGGGAGGGGGCGGGAACCATGGTGAGCGTCAGCTGATCTAAAAGATCATCCCCAACAGGAAGATTTGGCTGCAGTCCTGTTGGAACAAGGAGAGCAGGAAAAGAACAACCGAGAAGATGGAAGAAGAGGAAATAATGGGCTGATTTCGGAGCACGCTGTGAGATGCATGCTGGAAGCGGCACACGCTGCAGCTGTCAGCGCTATCCGAGTGGTGTCAGAAAAGCCCTGCCAACAGGACACAGATGTGCGCCACCAGCTCAAATCAGCACTCCTTGGCTGCGCATCTGCGAAACCATTTTAGTCTGAGACACATTTTCGCCGGAAAATGCACCCTCCGTGTTACAGGGCTGATATTAAAAAGTGGCTTGGAATTACATGTCTGGGGGAGAGACAGCGAGAGAGCAGGAACATTATCATTATACCAAGAAAAGGAATCCTGGCTGACGGACGATGCTGTTTCATGGCCCTTTAAATTTTTAAAATTATTTCTCCTTTCCAGCCCTTGCGGGGGACCCGAAATGGACTCATAAGCCCAACACAATGAAACCGAATGGAATTGTTTGAAATAAACAATCAATTTGCTAAATGCACACACACACACACAGAGAAGCATCTTCCCATCAAGATGCTGGGGCTGAGACTGCATTTGAAAGACACTGCCAATAAATGAGAGGGATTCTTGTCCCTCCTAGTGTCTGGGTTAGCTCTCATTAAAATCTTGCCACTAGTCTTGCTGGCCACAACTGCAAGAACTGAAGTGCAAAATCAGGGAGGCTGAGTATTCCTTGCTCATGGCTTACAAGGCTATGAGAATACTTTTCTAGGACAGGAATGACAACAGCACTGATAATTTTCAAAAAGCATTTCTGTCTGGCAGTGGGATGTGATGTGTTCCACGTGTCAGCAAATCTGGTGGCCTAATGTATCTATACTGAAGATACCGTCTAGCAAAAATCAATTATGATGATGATGATGTGCCATCAAGTCCATTCTGGTTTATGATGACCCTTTCCAGGGCTTTCCAGGGCTGGTTTCCCAATTGTCTGGGGGTGCCCTGGGACTCTGCAGCTTGCCCAAGGCCACCCAGGCTGGCTCTGTACCCGGGGAGAACTGTGGGGATTTGAACTCTCAACCTCAGGCAAAAGGGAGAACTGTTACAGCTTTTAACTGCATTTGCTTATTGGCAACAGAACTAAAAAAAAAAGTAAAATGGAACACGCAGAAGATTTATGCGTAAACATTCAAGGGGACAAAAAAAGCACAGGACACTTGATCTGTACCTCCATCATTGTCCACGTTATCTCCACACATCATCTCCATGATCACATTGCATCCCGTTCCGCTCCAGCCCACCTGGCAGACACAATGCCATCCGTTCTGGTCGAGGGTGCACCGTCCATTGCCATAACATAGACCTGGGCAGCCATCTAGAAAGAGACCAATTCAACCCCATGAGATCTAGCCTCATCACTCAAAACACCATGCTAGACACCCACAAAGGCTCTGTTGTGCGGTAACCTTTGCTATCCTCCTTGCAATAAGCCCAGTTTTTTTTAGACCTGGGCATCTTCTAGAACAATCTGTAGATTCCCTGTGATGTAACTATTGAGAACATCCTGTCATTTGTGGCCAACTCTGCATCTGCCATCCGTGAAGAAACCCTGAAGTTTTGTGGGAGCTGCTTAAAATGCTTGTATGTATTCCTTGTTGATCAAAACCATGGAAGGGTGAGGTCAAAGGGAAGATCTGTGTGTTTAACTTGAGAATTCCAATAAGTGGTAGCCATGTTTACCTGCATGCTGATGTCCTGAGAGGTTTAATGGTACCTTTTGCCACTGAGACCGGTCTGCAATGGCAGGGGTCACAGGCTTGTATTTTGGAAAAGAAAAGTTTTTTTTGGAAACCCAGACTGGTTAAGTTTGATGGGTGAGCTACTGAACATCCTAAAGAGAACCTGGGGTCCTGAATTCTAAACAAAGTGACGGGATGGAACGTCAGTGACCGAGAAGCCCCAATTAGTGACCTTTTTGGAACAGCACCCCCCAAACCGGTCCATGGTTCCAAAACAGCTGGGGACTGCTGTTTTAACAGATACCATTCTATTTTATTACTCTCATCGTTTGATTGACGTTATTGGTTCAATTTTAGTTGTTTCGCAAACTGCCCCGAATAGTGCCCTGCACTAATGGAGCAGTAGAGAAGCCTATAAAATAAAATAAAATCAATCACTTGAAGCCAGAATGGAGGAAGGGCTTAGGAAGAGGAGAGGAAGACCCGCCCTGAAGTAGACTGAGCAATAGCTTGCGGCTAAGGAGTGAGGAAACAGTTTCTGGATCATAATGAAGACTGCAAAAAGAAGGGAGAAAAAAAATGTTGTAGGGTTCCTGGGTTCAGTTAAAGGTGGCAGAATGAAGACCAGGGATGGGATTTTCGGATTTTCTGGACTGTAAATAAAGCACTTCTCCATTACAGCAGTTCTACCTATGTTGCATACACCTTGCAAACATCTAAATGTGATGTACCTGGGAGAAAGACCTCAACTGGAAGGCTTAGAGGCTTAAGCTAGGCCTAGTTTTGCCCAGGTTTTCAGCTCAGACAAAAAAGCTCCCAGCTAGCACTGGGGCAGGAACAGGAAGCTTGGATGACGCTAGGCCTTAAAACCTTCCAGTTTAGGCCTTTCTCCCAGGTGAGCCACATTTAGGTGTCTGTAAGGTAGGTAACATTCCCAGAATAGAGAATTATGGTGTCTGCAGTCCAGAAAAGGAGAGACAGGGAAAACTGTTGTTTTCATTTTCTTGCACATTCAGATATTTTGGTATCAAAGTTCTTTTTTTCATTTGCAATTCAGTGAAATTTAAAAATTGGGCAAATGACGTTTTTCAGTTATGAAAGTATGGACTGAAATGAAATTCTTCCCCATCTGCACCGGCCAAATTCAATAAATAAATTCTATTCCTAGCATGAATAGGGGGAAAAGGTATTATGTTTCTGAATTGGTATATGATGATGATGTGTCATAAAGTCATTTCTGACATAGGTCGACCCATTTCAGGGTTATTCATGCAAGATGATGATGTGTCATAAAGTCATTTCTGACTTAGGTCGATCCATTTCAGGGTTATTCATGCACAGAATAGTCAGAAGTGCTTTTACCCTTCCCTTCCTCAAGGAGCAACCTTGGGACTGTGCAGCTGGCCCAAGGCTACCCAGGTTGGATCTTCTCCCAGGAGGCACAGTAGGGAATCGAACTCCCAACCTCCGGCTCTCCAGAAAGAGACCTAAACCCCTGAGCTATTCAGCCAGCCATTGAATTTGCACATACGGGACTGGCTCTCCACAAAGAGACCTAAACCCCTGAGCTATTCAGCCGGCCACTGAATTTGCACATACAGGACTGCAAATATACCAGTAAAGCTAGAATGAAATCTTACGGTCTAACTCTTTGCACATTTACTCAGAAGAAAATCCCACTCGGTTCGACGGGGCTTACTCTTTTAGTAACATGTCCATCATTGCAGTCTCCATATTATAAATACATTGAGAGACCTAAACCCCTGAGCTATTCAGCCGGCCACTGAATTTGCACATACAGGACTGCAAATATACCAGTAAAGCTAGAATGAAATCTTACGGTCTAACTCTTTGCACATTTACTCAGAAGAAAATCCCACTCGGTTCGACGGGGCTTACTCTTTTAGTAACATGTCCATCATTGCAGTCTCCATATTATAAATACATTGGATTTCCCCCCGTCTTTCCACGAGATGCTCAGCACAGCTTGCGTTCCATCCAGCAGATGTGTTCCAGCAGGGCTTGCCTGCAGCATCCGAACGCTCTTTAATTATGTTATATTGATTGGCAAGATGGAATATTGGCAATAAGCTCAGCGCCAACAGCTGTGTCTGAAAAATCAGGTTCTCAGCCTTCATATCGCTCTGCCCAACATCCAACTGGTGAGACATTTACTGTGCAAAACCATAAAGGGAGCCATACTAGACAATGAGAGATGTGAGCTAAGCTAGGTCAGTTTCCTTAAACTTCTTTACAGGAAAAGTAGGAAGGGCTTAAAATCCAGGTTAGACACAAAAAAGGTGGCTATGAATATGGGTTGGAGCGAATAAATAAATGGCGTAACGCGAGGGTTCTGGAAGGCATTTCCTAGTGGGAAAACGGTCAACCAGGGTGGGTGGATGGGTGGAAGGAAGGAAGAAAGGAAGGAAGGAAGGAAGATTTTAAGTATATTTCTTCATAGATTTCCCTGAACAAGTTGGGAGCTTAACAGAGAAGAAAAGAGAACCGAGGCCAAATGCATTTACGCACCAAAACAGAAATGCACAATGCTCTAAGTATGCATTTCCATCTGTTCATTAGGATAAAGTGACTCCACTTTGCTTGAAACTGCCTGTTTTGTCACATACATAAACAGACATTATCATTAATCTAAAGTTGTTATTTAAGTAGCCGTTAGAAAATGTTTCTGGTGGCAACAATGTTTAAAATAAGTACAACATAGTCATTTTAAACAATTCACGTTCTCTGTCTGGGAGATATTTATGGTCTTTTGACACATGGCGTTTCAAGCGGTTCCCCCGCTGCGGGGAAACCAGGGGATACCGCAGGTATGGACACAGTACAGCCCAACTAGGCTGACATTCTGGCCAATGAACCCTCATGCCACCTTAAAGCTAAAAATACCTGGAACACATACACACCCCTTCCCCACAGCTTGATAAAAGGTCTAGAAATCAAACCCCATGAAGAACACGTGAGACATGTTTCACCTAGAGAAGTGGTTCCCACTCTTGGGTCAACCCAGGTGGTCGTGGACTACAATTCCCAGAAACCTTCACCACCAGCTGTGCCGGCTGGGGTTTCTGGGGGTTGCAGTCCAAGAACACTTGGGTGACCCAAGAGTGGGAACCACCACTTTAGATACTTTGGACTTTAAAAAAAAAAGACTTAGAGGAAGCATGACAGCCATCTTCAAATATCTGAAAGGCTTCATGGGGAAGAGGGGAAAAGGTTGTTGTCTCCTACTCCAGAGGGTAGATATTGGGTCCCACGTTGTAGACCTCTAAAAACATGTCACAATGTTGGGAAAGGGTTAGGGCAAGAGGAGGAGGAGACGACAGAGGACGAGATGGTTGGACAGGGTCATCAAAGCGACCAACATGAATTTGACCCAACTCCGGGAGGCAGTGGAAGACAGGAGGGCCTGGCGTGCTCTGGTCCATGGGGTCACAAAGAGTCGGACACGACTTAATGACTAAACAACAACAACTAACTAGAATTGACTATAGAAAAAATGGGGAACCCACAGAATTCCTTTAGGGTTGATACAAAATGACTTTGTCTAGGTAAACTAGTCATCATAAATTGTAGTCTTAGAAGAAGTAGCTGTGTTATTATTTTTGTTTTATTCAGGTCAAAAACAAAAGAAAATTTAAAAAAATATAGAAGACAAAAATATTAATATATAGCAGACAATCTTTAAAGAGCCACAACATTTTTGTCTTCTTAAATTTTTTATTTTATTTTTTTGTTTTGTTTTCGGCCTGATAGAATAAGTGAAGTCTTACTGGAAATGTAACCAAGGGTACAAGAAAAGAAATGTTTTAGAGGTTTTTTTTTAAAATGCAAATTCGGTAATCAAATATAAAATATGCCTGAAAGGGAATTAAGCAGAAACCATTATGTTTGCGAAGCTTTGGTATCTCGCCAATGAGTTTTGTATAAATTAGACAGCCAAGTCTCCTGCATGCAATTAGAACGTTTATAGATAAAAATACTTGGGAACATCTAAATGACATTTTGCCAAGAAGCAATATTAAATGTCTTGAGGAAAACGTATTTTTTTTAATATATTAAAATGTAACAATTACATTTCTGCAGCTGAGTGATGGTGTCTGAAAAGAACTGTGAGTTCTTGGTTCTTATTAGGAATATCATTAGAAATTAGCCTTGGGGTAAAAGCAAGGGAGAGAGGAAGACATGAACATGTCTAATAGGTAGCACAATATTTAAATCCTGTAAAAGGAAGGCATTATTTAAACTGTCTGATACTTCCTAGTCTCAACAGAGCTTCTATTAAATGGAGTTCGATGTATGTTTTCTAAAGATTATGTCAGTACTATTTTATAAAGAGTCAAGAGCACATCAGTTAGGGCAGCCATAAGCAAAAAAAGAGTTCTTTTTTTGGCCTTAAATCATTTATACATAATAGGAACATTGGCTTTTAGGGTTTCCCACACAGGGTGTCCCTAGAGATGGACGGAAATTCCTTTGGAGTTTGCTTTTGAAATGCAAGTTACCCAAATACCGGTATTTCTTCATGCTTGCAGTGGTTAGAATTTAACAGCTTAAAAAACAGAAGTTGGGATCATGGAGAGGTCCGTCCACTGAGGGCCATGATTTTTAATGCTCAACTCTTAAAAATCTGGATTTAAATCTGGATGGATGGAGCCCAACTTGTGGGGCTAAATGAAGAGGACCGTCTTATGCCTGCCCCAAGAGATGGTCTTCTTTAGTCGCGGGGACGTACAACCAAACATATATATGACAGAATACATTTGTTTGTGAAGTTGGGGGAGAATTCCATTTCAGTTTATTATTGAAGAGTTTCCCAGAAACGTCTGAAAGAACCTGCCCTAGGAATGTTCTGGTCACGGGTGGGTTTTTTTTTTAATACATGAGCTGGCCACCTAGAAGAGAAATGGCAGAACGATGACTATTTCTTCCGCGAACCACAAATGGCAATAAAACAGGATAACAGCCCTGCAGTGATCCTTCTATGTCTGTGTCATGGAATTGCTCTGTTCTTTTGATGTCTATTTAACTGTAACCACTTTGTTGTCTATAGGATTTCCAGGTGTGGAGGAGAACCTCTCTTTATCACTTGAGCCCTTCTCAAATCCTGGCTCTCATTTCCTGTGCTGCAGAGTTTCTCGACCCTAGTCTAGTGGTATCCAATCTAGGGCTCTAGGGGTTCTTGGACTCCAACTCCCAGAAATCCTGGCCAGCACAGCTCGTGGTGAAGGCTTCTGGGAGATGTAGTCAAAGAACAACCCAAGGTTGGGAACCACTGATCTGGTACATTCAGATGCTCAAGTGTACCTAATCGTTGGCCCTTCTGACCGAGAGTATCTGGAGACAGTAAAGGGAAAACTGCCTTACTGGACCTATTATCGACTTGAAACTCCTCATTCTAGCTGTCTCTCTGTCATGACTTCCTGCTGTATACCTTCTCTCAACAACGTATCCTCCAAAACCACATTTTGTTGGTCTGACATCTCCTGCTTTCCTAGAAGAATAAGACCTTTTTTTTCCCTTGGGTTGGCCCTTTGCACATGGACGTGCCTTCCAGAATCCTTGGTGGTGATACCCTTTCTTTATTCTTTCTTTCCTCTCGTTTTCTGGGCGGCTTCCTTTGCTTGAAGCATAACCCAAGATTTTATTGGAGTAAAATCTATCTTCCTGAGTTCTTACGCCAACTCAGCCTATGTTTTTGCGTTGCTCATGGAAGGCTTGGGCCATTGGCTAAAAAGATTAGCCCATTTCTTCTATAAGGGACTTTCTTCCCCATGGACAAGTTTAATGAGGATCAAGAATGCACAAATCTCACCAATGGTGCAGTGGTCTCCTTCCCATCCAGGGCTGCATTCACATTTTCCATCTTTGCACTGTCCGTGTTCCACACAGTGAGAATTACACGTACGTTCCTCGCATGCTGGGCCGACCCAGCCTTCTTCGCACTGACACACTCCTCTCGCACAGACGCCATGGCTGCCACAATCCAACGTGCACAGCTCTGAGTGAAAGACAAAATGATAGATCCGGTTAGTCTCTCTCGGGATAACTAGTAGAAGCGTCTGATCCCATCTGTGTTATCTCCAAAGTTAAGTCCTGGTTTGTTCAAAAGAATGATTACACATCTGGCATAATTCATAAGTCTATGGACAGAGGGAGCACAGAGCACTGTTCTAAGGAGTATCTTTGGATGGAAGACACAAGAGAGATTGCAGCTCAGTGGTAGAACACCTGCAGAGCAAGAGTTATGCGAATTCTACAGCAAAATGGCAGAAGACCATCGTCATCATAAGCACAAACATCCAATATCACAACTGGATTTCATTTTAAGCACAGTTAGCCGCATTGCTTGAAAGACCCCTCTGTAGATCATGGCTTATCGTGATTCACAATCAGCTGCATGTGAGAAATCAATTTGTGTACAGGCTCCCCCCCCAAAAAAAAAAGCAGGTTGACTTCTTTGTAGGACTGATCAAGAATCCCAATGGATCAGATGAACCACCTATTTTTCCATCAATGCCTCTCCGAAAGATTCTTTAAGGCTACATACCATAACATGCTTTAACATCTTTTTGAGAATGGAGGAGGTGGTTTTCCAGGACTAGAGCTTGGAAAAAGTTTTATTTCTTCATGTGATCATGATGCCTAGGGAAGTCTAATAATAATAATAACAAAAAACCCTGAATATCCAATCTTTGACTGGTATGTACATTTTAGCTCCATTAAATGTTCTTGCTAAGGCTTATGCTAAATATTAATTATAGGACTGGAAGACTGTGAAAGAGCACCTGTTTCTTTACATTCATGCATTAAGGAAGGAACTGTGATGACCCCCAATGGCCTCTCAATCATCTTGCATTGCATTAACCTATTTTTGAGATGTTGCTGCTGATAAACGGTGGCTTCTCATCAGCAAAGATTTGAACATATGAGATAAAATTCTCCACTCTTTTTATTCAAATTCTTTCTTTCTGGGCCATAATATAGGTTGCTCTTTTTCCCTTTTGCAGCCTAATGATCTTTTGTTAAAAATGTAGAACAAAAACATGGGGACACAGTGGAATGGAAGTTTGTTCATTTTTAGAAACAGGGCAATTGAGTTTGGGTGTGTTCTCAACAGAGCTCTAGATAATTCCCTTCGCTGTCCACCAGATTAGAACCACCTCACATATTGCAATATATTCTTTAATCTTTAAAAATTATTTTAGTAGAGATGGGATCCGTGACTCCTCTATACTTTCCCTAAAGCCGTCTTCCCACCTCTCTTGAGTAAATAATATGGTCCACTGTGGGTCTCACTGGGTTCAGGTTAATTCTCAAGAAGGCATCATCAGCCTTTGAGTCAACGAGCCAGTAATAGCTGCAGGTGATGCTGGTGGAAATTAAAGTAGACTGAAGATTTATATGGCTACTAAAACATGAAAGGAAGTCTTTGATCTATGTGGATTCCTGGCATGCACCAGTCATAGCTGTTCTCAGATCGTTGACGTAAAGGCTGATGGCAAGACAACACAATCAATAAATGAATGGTGCTCATTTCCAATAACATGCTTAGGAATAAAATGGCATAAGATAAAAGCTATTATTTGATGCTGAAGAGCCTGATCTTAAGCCTGTTTGCTCTTCCTGAAAAAGGCTGATTTGAAAAACACCATTTCCCCCCCAAGCCAGCTAACCAACGTTGAGCATAAACCTCAGCAACACTGTCTAGGGGCATCCAGTTGTACACCATGTACCTTTGGGGGGGTCATCTCTTAAAACTGAGATGATTCCAGCCATTCTTCTGGAAAATGTTGTAGTAAAATGGTTTTTCTTGATATCAAGGGCTTACTAGGAAGCTTCAAAAACATTTGAAAAAGTAAACACTGTGGTCCCTGATCATTTCAAGGCATTTAATCTGGGAATATGTTATTTAATGAAGCGTTATTTACTGATGCTGGAGCCCTAGAGTCAGTAGAATCACTATGAACTATTTGGATTATTAGGAAATGGGTTATTCTGATTTGTCTACCAGCAACTTACTGCCAGGTAAATGTGTACAGGGCCACAGTCTTCATCAATGAAAACGTCATTTTGTTTAGCAAATGTTTAGTTGATTTGTCTGCTGATTAAAACTTGGAGCCTTAAAGGAAAAGAGCAAACACAACAAGAAAGGCTCAAGTTCATTTCTAACTGACAGAAGCTTCTCTACTCCTGAGCTTGTTTGCCAGATAATTATTTTACAACAGTACAGGAAAGTTATGGTGTTAAAGTGTAACATTTTGGGTTTTGGCAAAATAAACTTTTTCTCCTTTTTAGCAACAAACGTGAAATACATTACATTTTAATACCTGGATGGACAAAATAACTATTTAACGTACAAATGGCATTATTTTTAAATGCTGAAATAAAACCTGCTGTCCAATTCCTTTTTTTGCATAGATATATTTTTAAATGCTGAAATAAAACCTGCTATCCAATTCCCTTTTTTTTTTGCATAGATGGCACAACTACAATCAAAACAGAATGAGGTGGTGATATAAAAAATGCTGACAGCTATGTAATTTTATTCTCCATATCATCTTGTTTGGGGGATTGTAAATAACGGTACTTTCCTTCCCTCATACTTTCCTTTCATCTCCATAGAAAATGTATTAATGCAACAGGCCGTAATTAAATGATGGAAATGCGTCCCAGAATAAAATGATAATAAAAAACAGCCTTCTGCATTTGTTTCCTTTGTTTGTTTGTTGATTTGACTTTACTTGATTTGGTTTGTTTTGACTTGATTTGACTCAATTCGATTTTATTTTTATGCTGCTCCCATTTTTGCCAAGGTACTATTCTGGGTGGTTTACAATAAAAACAACACAGAACAAAAATAAAATAAAACTACTAAAACCCATTAACAAATAATCAATAAAACAGATAGCACTGAAATAATAATGCAGAAAAATGGCAGATGAAAAATGGGCAGTCAACTAAGACCCGTGTAGAAAACCTCCCCGAAAAGCCACGTCTTCAGTTGCCTCCTAAGCATCTACAAGGAGGGGCCAAGGCGAAGCTCCTTCAGAAACTGGTTCCACAAAGTTGGAGCCACTGTGAAAAAGGCCCTGCCTCTCGGATATGACTCACGGGCTTCCCTTGAAGTGGCAACTCAGATGAGCCTCAACTGGGATGATCTAGTGCGTCAGGCAGATGACATTGGGGAAAGACGCTCAAAAAGTACAGTGGTCCCAAATCATGGAAAATTTTATACATGAATGTCAGAACCTTGAAACTGACCTGGAATACAATGGGTAACCAGTGGAGGCGAGCCAGATCTAATGCAATCGAATTTGCTCCCACCAACCTACAGTCTGGCTACAGCATTCTGAACTTGCTATAGTCTACCCACTGTAGACATGCAGAATATAGAGGCAAACATTGAAATGGTCTTGTTAACAATATAGTCTACATTTGCGACACTGTTAAAACAGTATTCTTCTGTTGTACCCTAATTCTTGATTAGATTTTGTGGTTTGGTTTCATTCCCTGCAAGAATATTTTTCTTATTGAAAAGCATTCTTTTACAGCTGTTATCAAGGAAAGCCAAATCTGCTTTTATGTCACTGCTCCCTCCGTACTTTGCTAATGGAGCATAGCATTTAAAATGCTAAATGTTTGGATGGTTTGGTTACTATTTACATAAATATTTGCTTCAGCAAATATTCTGAGGGCGGTGTCAGGAGATTTCCCACCTCGCAGCTATCCTATCTTATGATACATTACCTGTTACACATCTGATGCTTCCCTCTCCAATTTCACTCATACCCTTGGGGATACTTATTTCCATGAGACTGCACTTCATGGAAGTTGCCAACTCCTACTGGTCATCAGGTATGACTACCAATCAGACTTCAATTGACTTCTAACCTAGTGTAACATCTAAAGTTATTCTCTCTTTTTTTGCATGCATAAAGACTGGCATAGAATCATAGAATAAAGGAGTTGGAAGTGGGCTATAAGGCCATTGAGCCCAATCCCCTGATCAAGGCAGAAATCCAAATAAAAATAGATCTGACAGAGGGTTGTCCAATTTTCTCTTGAACGCCTCCAGTGTTGGAGAGCTTACCACCTCCCCAGGCCACTAGTTTCATTGTCGTACTGCTCTAACAGTTAAGAATTTTTTTCTGATATTCAGCCTAAATCTGGCTTCCTGTAGCTCGAGCCCATTATTATGTGTCCTGCACTCTGGGATGATCAAGAACAGATCCTGCCCCTCCTCTGTATGACTACCTTTCAAGTATTTGAAAAGTGCTATCCTATCTTCCCTCAGTCTTCTTTTCTCAAGGCTAAACATGTCCAGTCCTTTCAGTCTTTCCTCAGAGGGCTTCGTTTCCAGTCCCTTGACTATCCTCGTCGCCCTCCTCTGAACTTGCACCAGTTTGTTGGCATCCTTCTTAAAGTGTCGCATCCAGAACTGGACACAGGACTCTAGATGAGGCCTACCCAATACTGAATAGAGGGAAACTAGTAGTACAGGAAATCCCATTGCTCTTGTTGGGGACATTAGGAAATCCTTTGTTCTCCACCCAAGATAAGAGACAAATCCAAGGTGGTTAGAACCAATTTTTTTTTGTCTACAGAAGGAGAGTGTATATCTTGACTCCTACTCTTTTCACTCCAGGTTGTGTAGAGACAGAATCACATTACATCTACCCCCATTGTCTCCCAGTTCCCCAATTCTTTCAACATTTATGCCTGAAACAGAGTTTTGGGGAATTCAGAAGCTCACTATGTTTGTCACCATTATTGTGATGCAATAATAGTATGGCTCTACCCAGAATTTTGCTTCTATTCCATGGTTACTTGCATTTACTTATTTTAGAATAAATGATGTTGTGATTATAGGAATATGGAGATATCTTTAAAGAATGGGAAAGGAAAGCGAGCCTTTTCAGTGTTACTTTGAGATGAAAAATGGATATATGCGGACTATATTTTGAACTGGGACTGTTTTACACAAATCTCATACAAGTTATTCCTTGAATGGTAGAAGATGATTAATTTTATATCAACAAGAGAGATGTGGATTCTGTAGAGTTCATGGTTAGATTTCCTACCCCCCCCCCCAGAAAGAGAGCAATGAGTTGATTATTCTTTCCTGCATTAATTTAAAGAATATTTAAAAAAATCACATTGGATTCTTTATTTCAATTACCTAAGTCAACACAGAAACCTCTTAGGTATTTCTCTCATTAATTCATTTCTACTTGCGCAATATATGCAAAATAAAATGAAAGCTAAATATTTTATCAGTTTGAGAGATACCATTTCCATGCAGAATGAGCATATGTCAGCTCGAACATTTGTTTAAAAGCCAGACAATTTTATAGATGAATAAAATTATAAAAGTATGTTTTAAAAGCTTTCCACATGCACAGCTGTGCATTGGACCAGAAATATCATAATCGCATCATTCCAAAGGAAGGCCATATCAGAAAAAATACATCAGGTCAACTTTTTCTTGATCTGTTTAAATTCATGGCTCAGAAACATCCATGTTGTGATTTCAGTTCTATCAGGTGTACCTAGCATGGGCAGGCATCAAGGATGATGGCAACTGAAGGCCAATACCATCGGGAGAAATGCTGATTCCAAAACCCAAGTCTATATTATTCTGCTGAAAACATGTAATTACGGCTTAAGCCTAAGTGGTCACACTTTTCTGTTTGTCCCCTCTACCATTTCATGAATGATCAATGCCTGTGAACTCCTGTCCTCTGAAGAGGCCAGCCAGAGAGACTGGCAAAACGTTAGGAAGAACAACCTTCAGAACACGGCCAAAGAGCCCCAAAAACCCACAACAACCATTAGATCCCGGCCATGAAAGCCTTCGAGAATACCTAACCGGAACCTTTGCCAATGATCAATTGAAAGGGAACTCACCTGTTGAGCAGTCAGCACCTGTCCACTTTGGGTCACAGTTACACACCCCAGTATCCAAAAGAAAAGTGCCATGGCCTGAACACTGTTCTTGGCAGACAGGAAGGGATGTTTCACAGTTGACTCCGCCCCAGCCCATGGAACAGTGGCATTCGCCTTGAACACAGACTCCGTGGCCAGAGCACATGGGGTCTAAACAATCCTCTGGAAAGCAAGAGAGAAAGACCTTAAATGTCCTATGTAAAGAACAAGCAAACGACACAGTTGTTCCGGAGTTTATTACTAATTTTTTTGCCATAATGTAGCTAATTGAGTCAAATCAAATCATACTCCCCCACTCCCACCCACCCCTCCAAAAACATGGGTTTCTTCTATCCTGAATATGCACAGAACAGGGGCAATACTTGAGACTAGCCTTGTCAAATAGCTGGTGGCTGGTAAGGTTGGTCTGTTGTTTCAGGACCCTGGACAGCAACCAGGGAGAATGCTTGTTTGAATATGGGGTCAGAGCTGAACTATGAGAGCTGGAAGGGCAGAATTTAAAAAGATCGTTATGAGTAAAGATGAGACATTGGAGGCTAAGGTCAAGATCACTGGTAATGTGATGTTCCTGATTAATAGATACAGATGTTAAAGCTGGACAAAGAAGGAAACTCCCAGAAAACAAGCAGTTTATTTGAAGTGAGGAGGAGAGTTTTAACGGACACACACCACGGAGAACTGCTCAACGGTTCAGGTATCTGAATGCAAGCTGCAGTACCATCAGAGCTATGATTAGGGTGGTGCAATCAGGGGCAATGAAAAAAGAAAGAGTGTAGGAATGGGACAGAATATGAAAAGCAGAGGGAAACAGAAAGCATAGAGTAGGCAAAGTGTTCTCCAGCCAAAGTGAAGAGGGCACTCATGCGGATTAGGAACACAGAAGACGTTCCATAAGACGGATTGTATACATCCTGTCAATTTGTAAATTGGAATATTGTACACTATGATCCCCACACCTATGATGGGAATGTTTCCAAGCCCCGCCTCACAGAGGCTGAAAACCGTGGATAACAGCAAACACTATACATAACATGGTAAAAAAATAATAATCTAGGGCACTCATGCGGATTAGGAACACAGAAGACGTTCCATAAGACGGATTGTATACATCCTGTCAATTTGTAAATTGGAATATTGTACACTATGATCCCCACACCTATGATGGGAATGTTTCCAAGCCCCGCCTCACAGAGGCTGAAAACCGTGGATAACAGCAAACACTATACATAGCATGGTAAAAAAATAATAATCCAGAAATACATATTTTCACCATGTAGTCCCGTTGCTGAAAAATACATAGCATGGTCTCTGGCTCCTTTTAGTGGTCAGTGTTGGTAAATACATCATGGAAATATGTATTTCTAGTTTCTTTGGATATTTTTAATATTTTCAGATTGTGGATAAGTGAAGCCATGTATACTGATCCCATGGATACAGAGGTCCTCCTGTACATTATTCAAATGGCTATTCTTAATATCTATTAGTTTCAGGACACATTCACTATGCGTCAATTGATCTTCGTCAAATCATGTGTTAATCCACTGGCTGAAGTCTTGGTGTAACATTACACAAATGGTACCGCATTCCCATAAGTTATGAAAATTTGCAGGTGAATTCCTGTAAGTTAAGAAATCTTCACAGACATTATCTGTTGCATACTGAGTCACACAACTTTGCATGGAACACATAATACTTATGGAGATTTCTTAGGATTTGGAAATTTGCATCTGAAAGGTAAGTCATATATTGTGCTACAGGATTTCAGCTGCCGAGTTTACTTAACAGGTTCCATCCAGCTTTCTAGGAGCCATATATCATCCATAGATCCATTTATATTGAGCTTCCTTTAGGTTGAAACATAGGACATATTAGCCCACTCTAGGCGGCTTTAGGTTGAAACATCAAGAAAATTTATTAGCCGTACCCAATACCCTTCCACAAGCTGATGTTGTTAAGAAATGTCCAACTGATCTATGCCAGCACCACTACTGTAATCTCTCTGTAACAGAGAAATTGTCGTTGACATTACAAATAGAGATGCTGCAGGTAATTCGGTCTGCAAATTCTGATATGAACTGACCTTAACCCCACTCTCAGACTACAGTCCAAACAAAGCTTTCCAATGGAACTTGCTCTTCTCCAACGTTTTTAGTGAAGTTCTCATGGCTAGAAATGTATCGGACTGCACTGAAAATGTGTGCATTCAGATTGACTTCATTTACAGTTTCCTATTCTGAAACAAATCATAGCTATAGATGCACATTTTGAGAGCAAAGCAAAAATTAAATGTGCATTTAATGCGAATGCCATATGGACACTTTTAAAAATGCAAATTATATAAAGCAACACGTGCTGCTTATATACCACCCCATAGTACTTTAAGGGCGGTTTACAGTTTAATTATGCAGGCTACACACTGCTCCCCTAACAAGCTGGATATCCAGTTTACTGAGCTCAAAGGATGGAAGGTTGAGTGAACCTCAAGCTGGCTACCTGGATTTGAACCTGGGTTGTGAGCAGAGTTTTGGCTGCAGTCCTGCAGTTCAACCACTGCCCCATGAAGCTCCTTGTATAAGGCACTGGGAGGAATCTGACATGTAAGTGGAACACATGTGAAGGTGCATGGCTAGGAAACAGATAGACTTGCATATTCTTTATCAAAAAAATGAACTCTCCCTCTCTGAATGTAGGAAACAAAGTTGAAGACCCTGTGGATCTCAAGATGTTATGGAAGCTCTATTTCCCTCAGCCTTAGTCAATCTAATCAATGGTGAAGAATGATGGAAGTTGTTGTCTTTCCAACATTTGAAGTCCCCTCTTGGTGGAACTCCTCAAAGGGAGGGAGGGGTGGTTCTTGAGGTCTATGGGTTGCCAAGGCAACATTTTAAGTATTCCTTTCTGAGGAAGAAATGCACCATGAGGAGCGAGACGCACTAACCTTCCTCGCATATTTCTCCTTTATATCCAGGGACGCAGATGCATATTCCCATAATGCAAGTCCCGTGGCCGAAGCAGGTGGGGTCAATGCACTGCTCCTCCGGAACGTCACACTCAGGGCCCTTCCACCCATTGCGGCACACACAGTGGCCTTTCTCGTATTCTCCATTCCCACTGCATAACACGGGACAGGAATCTACAGAAGGCAAAGGGGAGTCGTAAGAAATGCATTGTCCTATGAAACCAGGTTAGAACGAAAATGGTGGACGGATTAGGAGGAACCACCAAGCCAGTTGAGAAAGCCCAAATCCAGTGGCTAGTCCCATCTAGAAGAGAGCCACATGCCTGAATCCTACTGGTGTTTGTGTAAGGTTCTGGTTACTTGCCGCGGCTAGTGGCGGCTAATTGATGATGCAGAGGGCGTATTGTTAGTATGTTGAATCACATGGCCAACTATACAACTGAGGTACATTTCAGCACTTAATCAGTTACTCAAGCCTTACACGAAAACCAATAGGATCCCAACCATAAAAATCTATGTTATAATCAATGTCCTACTACTTCAAGGTGCCATAAGGCTCTCCGATGTTTTCTCCATGACAGCTATTGGTGCTGCTACCGACAGATCAATACTGTACTTTCCTGTGATGTACTGTCTGGCTGAACAGCTCAGTGATTTCAGTATCTGGCTACGGAGTCAGATGTTGGAAGTTTAATTCCCCACTACGTATCCCAGGAGAAGAGCCAACCTGGGTAGCCTTGGGCAAGCTGCACACTTCTAGGGTGCCCACAGAAGAAGAGCACGGCAAACCACTTTTTGAGTACTGTGTACGTAGAAAGCCCCGGAAAGGCTCAACCCATAATTGGAATTGGCCTGTGATTACTATTATTATTATCTGGATAAACAGACAGAGCAGGCTGCTGTTTCAGGCACTGCTCGTTAACTTGATAAACCAGTCCTCAGGCGGTTGTTGTTTTTTTTTGTTGTTGTTGTTGGGTTGAAATAATGAGATTGAATCGATGAGATTTACGAATGTGTTGACTTACCCTTCAGCAATTCATTCATCTAGTTTACTCTAGATGGGACTAGCTATTTCATTCAGGACAAATATTTTATCATCCCTAATGTTGTTCTGAAGCTTGGCCTCTCTTTCTCTCTCTGTCATTCACGGAGCTCAATTCAAACTACTTCCCATCAATGACTCACAATTTCTATGACCTTCTCTCCTTATTTTTCTCTGTGTGAAAAAGGCTGGCACAAGTGCCTGACTGTGTCAGGTGCTCTTATGAAAGGTCAATAAGGTTCATGGAGACAGCAGCCTGTCTCCAAATGAACATCAAACTCTTCGAACACACTCTTCTCTGCCATAACAGACTGGGAGTTGTAAAGAATACATTAGGTGGCCGTTTCAAAGCCATCTCTAAGCTCGTTGGCCATTTATCTGTGACGTTTGTCCACCATCCAGGTGAGGTTATCTGGAAGTTGACTGAAGAAGCTACTTGGATGAGTAACAAAACATTTCAATTTCGTTGGCCATTGTTCACAGTTACTCAGGTTGGTTGTATGAAAAACCAACTGCAAACATGAAATAGCCATTGTGTGTGTGTTTGCTTTTAAATTATACATTCCTACCTCGAGCACAATCAGGGCCAAGGAATCCTGGGAAACAATGGCAATGACCGGAGATGCATTCTCCGTTTCCGTTGCAGTTGGTGGAACAATCACCCATGATTTCTGTTGGGAAAAGATGGGGCATGGTTGAAAGAAAAGCATACCACAAAATGAAAGAACCATTCCTAGCACGAGATGCAAGCAGTGGTGTAACTCCTTGCAGACTATTTCTGAAAGGAGAGCAACAGCAGAATAAGTTAGATGAGGAACACAGGAAGTTGTTCCTCCTTCTGAGTCAGGAGATTCTGGATATTTCCTGGCTATTTTCCATCTAGTCCAGTATTACCAGCTTACTTACTTACTCTCCAAGGTTTCAGGTAGAAATATTTCCTAGCTGTGCCTAGAGCCCCTCTGGCATTCCATTGTGGTTTCCTACTGAAATATTAACCAGACCAGACCAAGCTTCCAAAATCAGATAAAAATGAATATGTTCCGAGTGGTATGTCTTTGATCTCATTGTACTCATAAGCAGCCCCAGATAAAATACCTGCCTTTGGCAATTTTGCAAATACATGTGTATCGTGTGCAGGTTTATCTTGGATTGCATGGGAAGCGAGGTCGATTGATCATTGTATGGGGGCGGGATGTGTGCTAGGAGCAGCAGTTATGACAGCTGAGAAGTACGAAAGCATGTTAGGAATGCAATTGCCATTCATAATCAGTACTGACCAATCAACACAGTATGGTTCCTGGCTAGAGAGATTCTGTTTGTATAGAAGAGTGTGCGTGAGAGAAAGTTAGCCAGTGGGAGTGTTAAAATGAGTTGTAATAGGGCTAAAATGTGTGAGTGCTTCATTGCTCAAACAGACTATATATACTGTGCTGCATCCATCTATCAGTCCCAACAAGAGTAGACTGAATCAGTTGGACTTACATACATGTTAACTGAACAAGTCCAATTTGTATAATGGATTTCATTCCCTCTTCATTCCTCCTGCTAACGTGATGGTTAAACAAACCAAAAGTGTTTACCATTTTAACTTTTGAAAGAATCCTGGCTTGTTGTGCCTACTATAAACCAGGATCATAAACCAGGACATGTTCCTAGAGATTCTGACTAGCTTCAAGCTAACAAGCTAGAATCCCAGGCTCAGATAATACACTAAATCAATTATTCATTTCTGATTTGGTTCATTGTTCCTGGTAGCAGCAGAAGGCATGTGGAAGTAAACGGACTCTAGGCATCAACATGCAGGAATCCATTTCACTTCCAGTAAATTCAAGGAATCTAATATTAATCTATATTTAAAATGGCAATTAGTTTTATATCTTGAAAAGGAAGGAATATAGTCCATTGGTGATTTCGATAGAGAGGTTCAGATAATGCTCAGATTAGCTTGGCTTGGATTGTCCGCACATCTCTGATAGTGTATGAACTACACTGCAAACTTCCGTGGCCCGTAAGATACAAGGAATCTGTCTAGGATCAATGTATGGTTTGCCTAATGGTATGTGTCAGGTTCATAAATTCATGGTCAATAATGAATTATCTATTAAGCTCTCTCCCATTTGGATGAGAACAATACATAATCAGGCCTTACCGATCGCTGTGGTCAGCATAAGCACCTGCTCCATTTTCTTCCCGTCATTGTAAAAGGCCATGTGCCAAGCGCCTTGATCCATAAATTCTATGAAACCAGTCTCTTGCATGGACATTAAGATCAGGTTCCTGGGCACATGCTGATATTCCTCAGAATGTTTTGATTCCTGCTTAATTAATTGTTTCCCGTCCATTAGTTTTACAAAATCAAACTGAAAAAAGCAAAAGCAAGAGATGGTCAGACTCTCTTTTATAGTCTCATTTCTCGTCTGTTCCACCCCTGTGAAGCTAGGACTGAAAACAAAGGTCCGTATCCTATGGAGCTTCTTTCTGCGAAAGGAAAACTCCATCAGCATAATAACACAGCATCACACTGCTTGCACAAGTGTTGCTATTGCACAAGCGGTGAATTGCCAGTGAAAGCCACCCCTTTGTTTGCCAATGGCACTGCGTGAGCAAATCACACAGCCCTGTGTCTGTACACTGGTAATGCTTTTCAGCTGGAGGAAACACCATGGGCTTCCAAAATATTTCGATGCTTTCTGCTCTTTCTTACCCTTATAGAAAGATGCCGTTCAAGAGCCCCCACTGCCACGTGTGGTCCCAGCGATCTCAATGCAATCGAAGGATGGATGCAATTACTACTTTGGAACAAGCGCTTTAATCAGTTCTTGGGTTTGTGCTAAAAGGTGGGCAATTACGGAGCCCACAAAGTACATCTCTTGAGATGGTCTCCTTATCTAGTTGACAAATGCCGAGCAATGCGCTGAGCGATGACCGTGTGTACCCAGCTGAAGGCAAGGGACCACATTTCAGGGGGAAAGACCATCAGCAACAAAGCAGCTTTTCTGAATAATATCTGGTTTCTTTTCAGTTCTAAGATGGACAAATTATTTTACCATGCATAGATCATTCCTCCCAGGTTTGCAAAACTGCAAAACTCCTAAAAATGAAGGACCAACCGCAGTGGACTAGAGAGTTCACGTGGGACTCAGAAATCTTGAAAGGAGAAGTTAGAGAATGTGGGATGTATGGTCTATACTGTGCTAATGAACCACAAAAAATGGATCAATGTTCTTTTTGAAGTAGAATATGCCTCCAGCGTCTGTCACAACACACCAGCCCAGTAGGGCATGCCACCGGGGAAGAGACTATGTGATCATAGAGGGATAAAAGTCTTTGTGTCAAACAAGGTGGAAAGGTTAGCATTTTAAAAGACGACATACTCCCTCAAGCACTGGAGGCAGGCACTATGTATCATCCACTCAACATGCTTTGTTTCAGCCACGTGATCTGATTGGTCACCGGAAGGAAAACCCTGGCTTAATTTGCAAGTTTGATGGCTAGAGCATGCATCACCAAGAAGATGCCACTGTGGGAAAGAGAGTGAGTTAATAATAGGGAACACAGTTCCCCATAATATCGAGTTTGACCCTTAGTGTATGCCTTTAGCCATTTCTCTCTGGGCCCTTTGTGATCTCCTGTGATGATTAACACAGCGGGATAAGGACAGAAAGCATCAAGATTTTGTTCCACAGCTGTGTCTTGGTTTAGAGGTGGGCTGTGGATACAATGATGGAGATGTCCTAGCTTACTAGAGAAGAAGAGTTAGAAGACACCTCTTCTGTGTTTGCCAAGAGCTTGCCATTAATAGGACAAGACAACATCCCCAACCTTCTTCCTGATTTTTCCCCCTGGGATAAATTCAGAATTTTATGGCTTTGGCGCAGACTGTCTGAAGGACCCAATTTCCCTATAGGAAACTTCTTAGCTCTTAAAATCTTCAGGGCCCTTTCTCTCAGGCTCACTGCCCTCTCAGACATGTTTAGGAAACTTCTTAGCTCTTAAAATCTTCAGGCTCACTGCCCTCTCAGACATGTTTGGTGGGGACACAAGACAGGGCCTTCTCTGTGGCTGCTCCCAAGCTGTGGAAAGCCCTCCCACTGGAGGCTAGGTCACGCCCCTCCCTCTTGTCCTTCCAGCAACAGGTAAAGAGGATCTTTTTGGGAGCTTTTAACAGCTAATTGGGGAGTGAAGAATTTTAATTTTGGGTGCTGCATATTATGTTATCCATGTTTACATCCATTTTTAAGTTTTTTTGAACAGCTTTGATTAAACATTTTAATACTAACAGGTCTGTCTTTCAATAATTGGTCTTGGATGATGTAATTGGAAGACAGGTGGCATAGAAATGAAATGAACAGATAAAAATAAATTTTAAAAAGTTTAACTTCTAGGAAAGGAAGGAAGGAAACTGAGGGGCGGGTGGAGAAAGAGACAGAACTTACTTTAAGGGGAGGGGAAGGAAGGTTAATATAAAAAAATCAATTTCATAATGAACGTTAGCATCTATTCCTTTGACACCATGAGTCACCACAAAAAGCTAACTTTTATAACAGCAATAAATTAAAATACCTGTGTATGAGTGGGAGGAATATTACGTCTGCCATAAATCCCCAGCAGGGAGTCCTTTGCCAGTGAAACGTTAAATTTCAGGTACATTGGATGATGGATCATGATCTGGAAACGCCAGAAGAGGCCCGGAGGAATCGTCTGCATCACCTGGTCTCCGATTTCAACCTCCCCCGTATCTATTGCCTGTCCTTTCTGAAACACTATTTCTCCAGAAAAAATAAAATAAAAATGCTGTCATTTCAAAGGCAGAATAATAATAATAATCCAGTATTAAATAATCTACCTTAAAGGTAGTGAACGCATGAATAAGATACATCTCATGTAGGCCCACTGAATCAGTGGGAATTTGTTCATTCAACTCCTATGGCAGTTCTGTTGATTCAATGGACCTATTCTAGTGGTAACTTACTGCTGGACTTCCAGTGATAGACTCACACTTTGAAGGAAAACATGATTATCAGGTAAAACATAAGGGCCTCTGAGTTTGTAAAGGAATATTTGCATTTGTGTAAATGACAGATATCTCCAGTGACTGGAAAATAGCCATGGCCACCTCAAAAAAAAATACTGGTTTGTATAAGAGGCACAATCTGGGTCTGTGATTTTCGGAGGCTAAGACATCAGCTAGCCAGCCATCCAATGTAGAAAATTCGGGCTTATTTGCAACACAGAAACTTCTGTTGTGAAGACAGCCTAGACATGTCCTGAGGAGCCTATGTTGGAAAAGCTGCTACAAAAACAAAAAACGTGAATAGTTTTTTCAAAGAAGTAACCGTGTTTGTCTGTGGAAGCCTAGCAGCTCCAAACAAAACAGAACAACAACCCCGGACAGGAGTCAATAGCATGGCGATGCTTTAAAGACTACCTGCTGTATTTAATGGGACCTTTCATGGATCAAATCCACAAAGGTCTGAGTCAGTAGATTTGATCCACAAAAGCTCACACTAAAACATAACAGTTCTTCTTTAAGGTACTGCAATATTTTGGTCTCTTGTTGTTGTTTCGGTGAGAAATCATGATTGTTTCTCTTGAGGCAAAAGAAAAAGATACAGGCTTGTTCTTACTGAACCTGCCTTACCATCTCATGGTAGGAACAAAGGCATAAAACCCCTGTGGTGGAACATAAACTGAAGTAAGAGCTTACGGGCAGAATATCTGTATGATCTGTAATGCTAGAGGTGTCTGTTTAGAGCGATTGGATGTTGCGCGCCAGATGTGTCTTGCATTTGGCCAGAGGCTGGCTGAGAGGATGGAAAAACAGAGGTGAGATGTCAAGAAAGGTGACAGAAACAGATAAGGGCTGAGTTTTGAGGATGATACAGAAGACTTACTGTAGCCCTGTTCAGGCATTATATTAGCTGGTGTCCTGAACATGGTTAAATTCTAGATTTCTCCTTCTCCATTGCCATGGTTTCAGTGCCAGGTCTGAAGGAGAAAGGGTGTTTTTTGTTCGTTTGTTTGTTTTTGCTTGTGAAGAGCCTACCCATGAGTAACAACTCTCCCCAGACTTGGGGCTGAAACTGTGAGGAAAGCGATGACCGAAATGGCAAAGCCAGGCGCTTCCTTGCAATTGTACTCAGAATGCTAATGAAAAGCCTGAATAGGGCTTCTACGATTACCATAGGTCATAGTCCTAAGCTAAGATCTGTAGTTAAATATTGCTATATTATTGCACTGCATAATTAGTAAAAACAAAACAAAAGAATAGTGGCATCTTAAACACGTATAGATTTGCTATGTTTCATAGTGTACCATCCACATCCTCAGACAGATGTCGTGTCAGCAACAGAACAACACAGCCAATTCGTTGAAAGCCATAGCGCAATACTCATGGGGCAATGCTGGATGAGGAGTCAAATATCAATAGACAACTGTACTTAAAACAATAACCTTTGTATCTTTCCATAACCACACTTGTTACTTGATATACTACTGTAGGAAATAATTTACCAGATCAACATATCATGTTGTTGTTGTGATGTGTTGTCAAATCACCTCCGACTTACGGTGACCTTATGAATGAGCCATCTCAAAAAGGCCCTGTCCTCAACAACTCAGCTCTTGTAAACTCAAGCCTCTGACTTCCTTTAGGGAGTCAGTCAATCTTGTATTTGGCCTTCCTCTTTTCCTGCTGCCTTCCACCTTTATTGTCTTTTCCAGAGAATCCTGCCTTCTCAAGATGCACCCACAAGAGGACAGCCTCAGTTTCATCATTTTTGCCTTCAGGAATAGTTCTTACTCGTTTTTCTGGCAGGCCAGGTATCCACACCCATACATGCTGGTTGGGAATACAAGAAACTGGATGACCTTGGTCTCGGTCTCCAGTGACACATTCTTCCAGCTGATGATCTTTCCTAGTTCCTTCATTGCTGCCCTTCCAATTCCCAGTCATCTTCTGATTTCTTGGCTGCAAGTCTACATTTGGACCAACAGTAAAAGCAAGATATTCACAATTCCAGTTTCTTCATTGTTGATGTTAAAGTTGTTTAGTTCTTCTGTGATCGTCATCTTGTCTTCTCAATATTCAACTGCAGTCCTGCTTTGGCACTTTCTTCTTTCACTTTCACTGAAAGTCATTCGAAGGCATTGCTGCTTTCTGCCCGTAAAATGGTGTCTTTCATTTGGACCAACAGTAAAAGCAAGATATTCACAATTCCAGTTTCTTCATTGTTGATGTTAAAGTTGTTTAGTTCTTCTGTGATCGTCATCTTGTCTTCTCAATATTCAACTGCAGTCCTGCTTTGGCACTTTCTTCTTTCACTTTCACTGAAAGTCATTCGAAGGCATTGCTGCTTTCTGCCAGTAAAATGGTGTCTTCTGCATATCTCAGATTATTGATGCTTCTTCCACCAAATTTCACTCCTCCTTCATACGAATCTAGTTGGGCTTTCCATGTGATGTGTTCTGCATACAGATTGAACAGATAAGGGGATAAAATGCAGATTTGTCTGACACCTTTGCCTATAGGAAACCTTTCTGTATCTCCATATTCTGTCCTAACGGTAAGTTTCTTGTCCACAATTCAGGATAACTGAGGCACCCCCTTTTTTCCCAGAAGACCTCATAATTTCTCATGATCCACAAAGTCAAAGACTTAACAGGAAACGACAGACCTTATATGCTGGTAATACTGAGAACGGGATTTTGTGAAGGTTCTTGGGCTGCAACTACATGGTGGCAATAATCCGAAGGAAAAGTGCTTAGTACGGGTTAAGTGAAAACAGGCACAAGATCTGCAATGAAAGATGTCAAAATTCTTGCCCCTTTGCCTTTCTTTTCATCTATCACAGATGGGACGAGTCCACTGGGCCTCTCTGGGGCGAGGCGTGGCCTTGCATGATTGGAATGTCCTGCGACTCTCCCGTTTTAATTTTCAACAACTGCATTTTTGCATATATGCAAATTGAATTACAGAGCTCGTTTCTGTGAGAGCTGTAAGGGATTACAGATTTGGTAGCTTCTGTCAATAGGCTTTGCACAGGAAGCCTCTCCCAGAAAAAAATTAACAGAGCTATAATCTCTTGTAACTCCTATGGACTCTAACCCCACCCACCCACGCCTCTCGTATTCTGCACAGGATGAAAATAGATGCCTGAGTCTGAATTCCTTGTCCTAAGAACTCGAAAGCACATGGCAGGACTTTGTTGATCAAAACCCTCAGGAACCCGGGAAATTCCTGCAGGCTTCGGGAAGCCGCAGTCCACAAATTCCGCAAATCCCATTGTGGTAGAGGTTCTATCTGCCACTGAACTGAACTATTTTGAGGAAGACAGCCATGCGTTAATGCGTTGCAGTAAAAACCATAAAGACACATTAAAGACTAACAGGTTTTCACTTTCACGGATAATAGCCCTGTTGTATCTGATGAAGTCAGTCATAGCCCTTGAAACAACGCTCCTGTCAAACGAAACTTGTCAATCTTTACGATCCCATAAGGGTCTTTGATGATTTTAACGAGGAGGCCTCCAATTCAAAAATAAAAGGCCTGTTTTTCCTCTCTGTTTCCCACTAGAAGATGTATTGTTCCAAATTAAAAGACCTACTTGAGCAAGAAAAACCTTCAGTGGCGGGAATGAATGATGAGAATCCACTGCCCGGTTCTCTTCTGACACTCCTGGTTTAAATTAAACCCTCTGGATGAAAACAGGAAGGTGTACCTCTTCCCCCAGTTCCAAAAGTGTTCAGAGATAAATGACTTAAAATCACATTTTTAAGAGACACTGCCTATAAGGCTCAGCAGAACGCTGGGAGAGATTTTCTGCTGATACAGACCGGCAGTGGGCAGCATCAATTATTGCATCGCTTGAGTACAATAACTCGGAGGTCAAGAGCAGGACAATGCCTTTAAAGGCAACTGTAATATTGGCCAGTGTTGATAGCCTTGAAAGGAAATTGTTACTGTCTCACTTAAAGCTTTGTTTTTTTCTGGGAGGTGGAGAATACATTACAGTATCAGATGACATTGTTCGGGGATGACATGACACTGTTACGGAAATGGTCTCTTCCTGAAACGACTGTCTATCATCCAAATTCGATGGCAAATCCTGGAACAGTATAACGGTAATGCATGAACGATCCCTGGCTCGCATAATGAAAAAAGGAGTTTGATTCATTGACTCCGGGATGGGGAACCCATGGGGCTCAGAATGTCTTGCTTTACACCTCCCATCATCCACAAAGCAGTGGATCTTCTGACTAGGCCTGATATAAATTGAAATCCAATAGTACTTATAGGGCCAGAAGAAATATATAACTTTTCTATATACTCGTATTTTTCGCTCCATAAGATGCACCAATTTTTTAGGAGAAGAAAACAGGAAAATATAATCTGTTTTCTTCGCTCCATAAGACGCACAGACTTTCCACTCCCCTGTTTTGTGGGGGAAAAGTGCGTCTTATGGTGCGAAAAATACAGTAACTTTTCCCTTGAGATACGCGGGTCTGAACAGCACCGTTTTGGTTATACACAGATTCCCCTGCCCATACATACATATTCCAATAAATAAATAAATATCCAATAAATACTGTGTTTCTGGGCATCCAAAATGAGGGGCATCAATCAGTTCAGCATCAAAGGCATTGAAGTGGATCTCAGACTAATCATCTCTAATTCAACTTTGAGATTAGGGGGGGCATAAGGATCTTTAAGACTCATTGGTTCGAAAGGATTGTCAATGCTATGGAAGAGAACTCCAATAGAGAGGGA